ATACAAAGCTTTTAGTTCCCCTCCTCGCGTGATAATAATAATAATCGTATGCTTTCTGACCTCGTTTATTGTTATGATACCTAGAACCATGCGTTTTAAAGTTTTCCCGATACTGAATAGCAACAATTATCCACGATATTTGAATAGCACGAGGGATATTACGATATCGCCTATTATAAATGTCACGAAATACGCGAGTAAATATAAGCATGACAAATACTATTTTACCTTAAACGAACAATATAAAGAAAAACAAGTCATTCTGGTCTACGATTGGATAAGAGAAATATTACTCACTGTAGTACCATTAATAGTCATTATATTTCTCAATACACAAATAATTCTCAGGTTCAGGAAACTCGTGATGAGAAAGAGGTTAATGAAATCGGGGTTTAGTGAACCTAGTATGCAGGAAAAATTGATGAACAATAAAATTAAGCATATCAATCCTTCGATTAGTGTCGAGAATATAGAAGAGAGTATTCCTAATCCAATTGAAGATGATGCGGGTTTGAGCTTAAACATGAAAGATAAAAATGGTATTTTGAAAAAATCGTCAAAAAAATTTTTAAAGGAGAAATTTATGATGAATTATAGTATAAATTCAAATAACATATTGAATAACGAAAACAACTCCAGCCCAGTAAGCGGCATGTTGATCAGGAAGTCTATTAAACAAGATTTAGAAAAAAATAACGTTAGCGCCATGGAAAACTCTTTGGAAATTCCGACAGACTCGTCGTTTCTGAATGCTAACGATACGATTCCTACAATGAGCTCAGAGTTAAGTAGCGATATTGCAGGAGAAATAAAACCGATTAGACTCAGTTTTAAAAAATCGTTTAAATATGCCCGAGACATGGTTGACAAGCCTATTAACTCAATGACCAGCAGGTCTAGCAAAAGTAACCACAAACCTAAAGATGATTTGAAAGCCGTAACACGCAAAAAGGCTAAATATGAAAGGGATGAAAAACGATTGACATCCATGTTGATTAGTGCCGGAATTCAATATTTTATATGTTGCGTACCCCAGGCGGTGGCAGCCTTGATAGATAATCCGCACTTGAGACAACAAAACTATTTTCGGTTAATAATAATCTTCACGAATGTACTAGAAGCCCTGAATTACATGCTTAACTTTTACGTCTATTTGATATTTGTAAAAGATTTTGCCAAACATGCCAAAAAGATTTTGCTTAACATTTGTTTGAAACAAAATTATACCTGTTTACCGCTGATGAACAATTGTAAAAAAAAGGATAAATATTCAAAGGAAAAAATTAGGTGACGGAACAATATTTTTTTGTACAATTATAATATAAAATGTATTTGTTATTTTCTTTCTTATATTTTGTGGGGTAAAAAAAATAGTCAATGTGATTAGAAATTATGTCAGTCAATACATGTTTGGAAAAACTATACTTGTCACATTATTTTCAAAAACACATTGTTTAATATTTTATAGAAGAATTCTCAAAATTTAATATAATCCTAATAAATTGATAAATATATCTCAGAAATTATGTTTTTTTTGTTACCTTTAAGTTTTTTTTTTATCTTTTGTGACGATTTCAAATTTTATTTTGGTTGATAAATTTTTATCCTCCATTTGCTTTAATAATAATTTGCAAGAAATAGTAGGTTAGCAATTCAAAATTCTCCAGTATATTTCTGAGGTGGTGACTCATTTTTCAAGTATATGTCAAAAATAAGATTTTTCTTGAGTTTTGGACAATGTAAAATTTCAATTTTATGAAGCATAAATGACGAAATAATATTGTTTTTTAATATCTATCAATTTTGAATGACTAGCTTATAATCTATATAATAAAATAAATGTTATTATGACAATCTTCTAATTTCAATTTTATTCATAAACATAATTCATTATTGCATTTAAATCCAATTCTTTTGCCCCCTCCTTATTAACATTTAAAATTGCCATATTATTTACTCCTTGTTGCTTTATTTTAGAGCGTAGGTAAGATTTTAAACATGTTGACCTTAAAATGATCTTTCGGTAGTGACAGGGAGGGTGAATTAGAATTTTAAATAATTTAATCATTATACTTAGAAAAGAATGGTAAATATTTTTTCCTTTAAGATAGTATCTACTAAAAAATTTAAACCTTAGTGTATATATTTCAAACATCGTGTAATCTAAAAAAAAATCTAAATTATCTCAATAGAACTTTGACATATGATTTCCATCAAGTTTTTTGATCGCAAATTGTTCCTTATTTATTGAGTGATCCACTGCTAGTTTGTTACGATTATTTAATACTTGATTGAAAACATACTTTGCATATTAATTAAAAAGACATTTTCTTCTAACATTTTTAAAAGGGGCACCCACTTAATTTCTTGTTTTAAATTAAATGACTTCTAGAACACTAACGCCTCATTTATAAGCCAGTCTACTAACTTTAGGCAAGCCATCATAACAATACCCTCTCTATTACTTGATGTCGAAAGTAAATCTAAATAATACATCCTTTTATCACGTTAAATAAGTGTTAAAAATTTGTTAACGATATTTTATATAAAATCCTAAAAATATTTAATTTATATTTAAATCTTCTTCCAAATAAAATAAATCTAAAAAAGCTACTCTTTTATATATTATATCCATTGTTTCATCTGCCATTATCGAGTGGAATATAGAAGATTTTTAGATTTAACAAGTTTATAGCGAAAATTTCAATAATTATTCCTATCCACTTGTAACTATTTTTATATTATTCTCAGCTTTAAGTTTAAATAATTAAACAAAATTTGCAATTTTATTATTCAACCTTCATGCAAAACCTAATAGATAATTAATAGATATTATATAATCAATGTGATGTGTCCATGGAAACCCGCAAAATTATTAATAGGATGCGAAAAATTTAAGTTTCTTACGCTGCGCTAGATTAAACGCATTATTTATCGCAGCGTTATTACAGCTGATTCAGTTTTAAAAACTAATTTAAGATAAAACTAAAATAGATATAATTATTTTATATAATATTTAAGAAAAATCATATACCTTTTTATCGAATTCGCTATTATTTTTATAATAGTACAGCATATTTTACATCAACGCATCGCAACATATGTTTTTCAAATCTCATCATAGCGTTATCATCATAACGTTTCATATTCATACATTTATACCTATTTATTGGCTTAATTATGCAATAACGCAACTCTTGATCGTTTTTATAAATGAGGTCTTAAACTTTATTTTTATGTTATGTGTAAAATTAAAGTCAGGTGATAAATATTCAAATCATGATTCATTCTTTGTCATCCTAAATTTTGCGTTTCATTTATTTCAATGTATAAAGCCTTCTTAATTTATTTTACGATATTTTTCAATATTTCTCTTTTATAAAAATTGTATTGTAATAAAAAAAACTTATTAGATTACGTTTATCAATACCAGTTTTGCATTTTTAGTTTTTGTTCAGAAAGTTATAAAACAATTCTGATAAAGGAATTTATAATTATCCTTTTACTCAGTATTTTTTAATGTTAGTTCTGGTCAATTAAAAAATTACATTTAGGCATTAAAAAAGGTTATATTATCTATTAAAATTAAATATTTTTTAATTTCAATAATAAGGATAATTATTTTTAATTAATTTTGTTGCATTTCTCATAGTAATGCTGATTTTTGTTTCATTTTTCTTGGAGCCTAAATGTTAATACAGTATAAAACCTTGAACCGTGTCACATCTAACAATGAATATTCGTTTATTCATTTTGAGTGGCTTATAAAAACTGAACAATCCCAATTTTTTACTGTTAACGGGTCAATTAATAATATTTAAAAAAAATATGAGTTGAAATTTGAAGGGTTAAACTAATCGAAGAATTAGACACAACAAATTAAGAACTATATGAGACGTGCAGTGGGAACAAAATTTTAAGCCTAGCCTAGATTTTAAAAATTTTGTTAATTAAATATTTAAAAAAACTGCAAATGTGACAGTAAATGAATGTTAAAAGAGCTATTATACGATTTGTCCCAACTAAGTAATTTTAAGTTATTTTCAAGATTGACCAACTTTTCTGTTTAAAAAATATATTTTAAGACTGGATCTAAGGAGGTTTGTAAAGTGGATAAATGAGCTATACTATAAACATATGGTATATTTCTACATTCCTAATTCCTTATCTACCCCTACTAGTTTATTCTAACCCTTCTTACATCTTAAATGCATAGATGATGGATGATTTCTGATATGAATCAATAGATATTCCATATGGGCATCTATTATTCAAGCTCTATTAATCATCGCAATTCTTAGATTAACTAAATGAATAAAATTTTTATTTTAAATTTCAAAACTTTTTGCTCACTTTTATGGTTACAAATCCTCTTACTCAAATATTCTTACCAAATCACTAATCAAAATTAGCAAGGAATTTTTTTATTGGTTAAAATTTAAAAATGGCCCCGAATGCATTTGAAGCAATCAATTTTTATTAATCTAAACTGGAAGACTAAGTTTTTGAAGCAAACCGTCTGGCAAATATTTTTCAATCAAAACAAATGTTGTGATATTATATGTAATTTTTTAATAGTATATTAACCCTTCCAGGCATCTTTGTTGCCCCTTAAACTTTACTCTAATCTGTGTTTTCCTATTACCATTTACCCTAACCTAAAAGGTATTGTATAATTTAAAATAATCGTTCTAAAGTTAAAAAAAACATAAAATAGATATCTACGCATGCGTACCTGATGATCAATAAAACAGATAAGAATATCTCGAAAAGGGAAAAACATCTATAAATAATGAAATAGATACGTTTAAATAACATACTGTAGAGGAATTAGCTTACTATACAGGCTATATATTAGGGATATTATATATATATTATTATATATGTATTTCAATGTTAAAGTTCGGCCAATTCAATAATGAATTAAATTATTCTTATTCGATTCTTTTAAACGGATCGAATATTTACTATTCGTACCAATTTATTAAAACTATTAAATTATGAGCTATGTTTGCTTTATATAAAAAAAAATTTCATGAGGTAATTACAGTATATAACCTGCTTTAAGTTTCTCAAATTATTACAAATTTAAAATTTACTAAAACTTATTTAAATAAAAATGAAGAACGTTTAACAAGTGGATTATAACCGTATGTTAGAAATATATATAATGATTGACGCGTTTATGGTGCTGGCGTGAACCTCATATAATGTTTTTTTGAAGGCAACTCGACAGTTTCATATCCCTTGGTAAATATTTTATCAGCGTCCTGGGTTGAAATATTAGGTAGCACCATGCATTCGGTTCCTGGCTGTTTTTATATAAATTTTTTAAAAAAATCAAAAAAAAATAAACAATTCTAAAGAGCTAAGAATACAATTAATGTTGTTAAACGGCTCGATTCAATCTATTTCAAATTAAGAATTTAGCTAAAATAATATTATGCAAGTCTCGAGATTTGGTTAATAGATGTCTAAACCTATCTGCCATCTAGGAAGGCGTGCGTTACTTTCGGCTAAAATATCGGGTTAGTTTTTTCTAAAAATCGAGCCGTTTTAGCTACACTAATTACAATTATGATAGCGTTATTTTTATAAAAAATTTATTTTTTTGAAAAAAAAGTTTAATATTAAATTGGTAATCTTGTTATTTGCTCAAAAAATTTTAATATAAAATTTTATAAAATTTGTGTTAAAGATTAGCAACCTATTTCTTTTAAAAAAATTCAGATCGGGTTGGGTCGGTCCTAATCAGGCGCGTACGCAGGAATTTGGTCTGGGGGGGATAATAAAATTTTTTAAGAAATATTATTGTTTTTTAAAAATATCAAGCATAAATTTATTAGGACTAATAACTATTTCTAATACACAATTTTAAATTAATGTGAATTATAAAAAAATTATATGTAAAGAATCACTTAAATGACCCAAAATAGAAATTTGAATTTTTTGAGCCTTTATACAAAAAGTTTCTTAGGAATAATTGCATTTTGTATGTTATATATTTACAATGTAAAATTCAATCTTCGTTGTGATTGAGCTAATTTTTCAATTATCTCATCCTTGCTTGTCGTCGAATGCCTATGAATATTCACATCCAAACCTTTCAATCTACTTTCAGATGTTGTACTTCTTGGTATGTTTTTCAGAGACTTGCAGGCCAGGCCCCCAAGCCGTACAGTATTTTAATTTTTTTACATATACCCTGGCCGGGCCCGAAATTTTTTTAAAAAAACACCCAAACCGGGCTTGAATTATTTTTAAAAAAACACCCAATCCGGGCTGTATTTTTTAAAACAGCTTATATTTGAAATCGTTATTATTAGCTATAAAAATCATAAATAAATATAATTTATTTTTAAAAAATCAAGGCCGGGCCTGAAAATTTTATTTTAAAAAAAGCCGAGTCGGGCCTAAAATTTTTTTTAAAAAAAGCCGGGCCGGGCCTGAAAATTTTTAAAAAAAACCCAGGCCGTGCCGTAAAAAATCTTTTAAAAAAATCCGGGCCGTGCCCTGCAAATGGTACTTCTGCAGGCCTCTGTTATTCTTCTTAAAAAAGAGAATGTTCTCTCCTTAGTTTACTAATGGGAAGATTTTATAAACCCTTTTAATACATTGGGAATTTAATCTAAAATATGTTTGAAATAATGCAGAGCATCCATAGCTGGGACTATATCAACCATAGTTAATCTTATAAACATAGTTATTCAGCTAGTAAGGCATCATAAGATACTTTAACATCTTCATAATAAAAATCTAACAAATATTTTTTTTTCTATCACCATCTGAAAAAGATTGGGAAGGCTTTTGTGGAAGTAATATTTGCAGATTAGTAAGTGCTGCAGGATGAATTAAAAATTCATTTATTTGGGTTATAAATGTATCTGTATTTAAGATATACTCTTCTATTGATCCTATATTAATGTTTTAACGATGAGCCTGCCTTGTTACAAGTCGAGGGAGACAAATATTAAATAAAATATAAAATATGAAATTCTTCATCAACATTAGCCCTAATTTCCTTGAGTTCTGATAAAATGCTCTCCGCTATTCTCATCTTCTTAATCAAGTCAATGTCATGTTTTTGAAAAGTAATATCCCATGGAGGAGAGACCAACTTTTGGTATGGGACTATTCCTGTATTGACCCCTTGGCCCCATCCAACCACGCCATCAACATCCTTGACCAGAAGGAACAACTTAAAATTTCTAAATACACAGAAATAATAAACGATCATTGCTTCATCCCAATCATATCAACCACTCTTGGCACCTTCGGCAAACTCGCCTTAGCATTTTTCAAAAACTTAGGATCACAAATCAGCAAACTCTCAGAAGAACCACGAGAGGGTTTTTTTCTTCGTCAACGATTATCCATAGCGATTCACAAAGCTAATTATATCAGTTTCAATGGTAGCCTTCTAGCCAAAGAGCTATCATAGACAACGCTTACGTCCCTTTTTCATTTTTGTTTCCCTGCGTCACACCATCTCCGTTCTTTTTTTTAATAGTATTATTATATATTTTTCAAACATTTTTAAATATAAAATTTATTATAATGAAAATTTAAATTATTATACCTTATATTGATAATAAACTATATAAAAAAAAAAAATTAAATCATTTAAATAAAATAAAGTTATAAAGTAAAAAATAATTGTATAATTAAATAATACATTCTAATGAGAAATAAAATTTGGAATAAGCATAGAATCCAATAATTTTCTCCCTTCTGAGGAAATATTTCTTTCAGGCCATTGTGATATTTCAGTAATAGCAAATAATTGGCTCTTCTAACTCCTTAAAAGCTGTTACTGCTTGATGGCAGAGACTCTATCTCGTTGGACAAGATTGCAATTTCTTTTTCCCCGATGGACAAAAAGTTTCATAAATAATTATTATTTGACTATAAATTTGAAAATGGTAGATAAATGTTACGCCACTAAAATTTGAAAATAATAAGTAAATATTACGCCGGAAAACTTAAAATCGAAATTAATTGATAAAATAACTTAGTAGATAAATGTGATAATAAATGTAATTAAATATTTAATATGAGATAGGAATAAATATTAACAAATATAATTAATATAAACAATAATATTTTTGAAAAATATATCCGGCATCTGCATTTTTTGGCTTTTTTTTGGGGGGGGGGGGGGGGGGGGGGGATTTGTCCCCCTGCCCCCCCCCCCGCTGCGTACGCGCCTGGTCCTAATTATTTTTAAAAAAATTCGAGCCGGGCTTAAATTATTAAATATATATATTCTTGTTAAATAAATTGATATATTATAAAATTTTTGCATGAAAACAAGGGCGCCAATATTATCTATTTGTAGAATATTATTTTTAAAATTAAAAATATATTACACTTTACAAATATTAGAAATAAATTCGAACCGAGGTGGACAAATAATTTTTATTTTGATATCGGGCCCGAGCTTTTCAGAATAAATATAAATTTGGTTCGAGATCTGGCCGAGCAAATTTTTTTAAAAAATTTTCGGGCCGGATTGGATTTGAAAAATTAGCCCCGATGCGGATCACCAATTTGTATATCACGGAAAAAAAATATCAGAATCTGAAGCTTAGGTTGCAATTAATTTATCAATCAGAGGTCTGAAATGGGTAGGTTTTAATTCGAACGCCCACTGGCCCATAGTTTAAAAAAATTTACCCACCATGTGACCGCCAGCTTATTTGTCAAAAAATTTGTTTAGCCTGCGCGACCAATGTTTAAAAATTATTTTATTGGTCAGTGTGGCTTTTTATTCTAAAGGATTTTTAATAATAAAATGTTATGCCCCTTTCTTCCAAAAATTATCTCAAATTCACCCGCCCATCATTTTAAAAAAAAATTCAACCCAACCGATCACCCACCAAATGTTTAAAATCTTATAGCCTGGCTGCAGAATGGGCTGGCTAAAATCTGCCCATCGTGGACCTCTAATATGAATATCATAATTTTTTAAAAAATAGTACGTAAATTAAGGTTTTAATTCGACCCATAATATATTAAATCAAATAATTTAACAAAAAATATATATCATACCTTCCAATCAACGGGGGTGGAGACTTTGGCGCGGCTAGTTAATTGAAGTGAATCAATCACTCTTAAAATTTCACTGTTATGATATTAATATTTTATATAGATTGCATGCATCGATAATCACGGTATCAATCTATATCAGCCCGATACATTTAATTTTAACAGATACCCCCAAAATGATAAATAATTTTTATAAATTATAAAATTTAGCCTACATATATGCCTTAATTTTTAAAAAATTCTTATGCCCGATAAGAAAGGAAGGGGTTATTTTTTAAAAAAATTGTTTTCTCTACATAGTTTCCATTTACTTTTAATTAATTATTATAAATAATAAATAAATTTTTTAAAAAATAGCCATTTTCTTTTCTAATCCTCCTTCTCCATTTTACACGGTCCTGGGCATCGCATCAGGTCAAACCTAACCTTTTCATGTCATTGTCTAGCAATGTCTTTGTTCGCGCTCTAAGTCTTGTTTCCCTCCACTTCCAACCAACGGTATCTATTCAGCCAATCATCCTTTGCCTTCCATTCAGCATGTCAAAACCATCTCAGTCTATTTATTCTCAAGATATCCACTTATTGCTTCTTTCCTAATCCTTCCTCTCAGTTCCTGGCTTGTATTTCTTTCTAGTAAAGATGTTCCGCATATCCATCTTAATCATTCTCATCTCCGTTCTCTCTAATTTGGCTTCGTGAGTCGCCTAAATTGCCCATGTCTCGCTGCCGTACATCATATCCCTTTACGACAGTAGGGACAATTGACGGAGTTTCTAGCAACACTTACATACATCACATGCATGTCTCCTCGTCTAAGTTTTCACCTCCAAAAATCATCTTCGTCTTTTCTATATTTTAATCCCATCTCTTCCTCAACTCTTCTACATCAAACTATTTTATCATTCAATTCTGCCTTACTTTTTGCTATCACTACTAAATCGTTGTAATACGATATTTCTCATGGTAGTCCTTTATGAGTTCCTCTAAGCCATGATCTCCTTGCTATATAAATAAGACTCTACACGGAACTCTGATGTAGCCCTACTTTTACCTTGATACTATCACTATTCTTAATATTAATATAATGATTTTATGGCTCAAATTAAAAAAAATATATATACGAGTTATTAATAATATAATTTTGGGGGTTTGGCGATTAGTATCGGTTAACATCAAAGGTATAGACTGATACAAGTACTAAGTACCATGTGTTTTTAAAAACAAAGAGCTCTTTATAATCTATAATAAATGTTTTGACAATTATATTTTCTTTTGACGAGGGCCGAATCCTTGTGGTAAAAATAGCCGGAACTTTGTAAAATTTAAATTAAACATTTTTGGTTTATTTAAGTTTTGAAATAATTTTTTTCATTATTATCCTACTAGTCTAATATATTCTTGTAAAATGAAGAGACTATTGATCTAATGGAGAAGGGAAAAATAATATTTCGAGCTGTAAGTTACTCTGTTCGGCCCTGCAGTGCTTTATTCATACTGTTATATCTCTCATCAAATAATATCCAAACCAAAAACAATTATCACATAATGATTTTTATAAATTGGGTGGTATAAAATTAAAAAATATATTACTCAAAATTTCTTCCAGTCGTTGCCGGGTATAATATTGATAATTTCAACTTTTTGTCAGGCCCTATAATAAAAACCTAACAAATAAATCAAGTAATTATTTTGGTTGCTAAAATAAAACCTACTTATCAAAATATAATTGTCGTCATATAGTAAAATATTGAATTTGGTTAGGTAATATTATGACTTATTTTAGGATAGTATATATATATTATATGTTTTTCTGATATTTGAATAACATTGGTGTTGTTAAATTATTTTTATCTTTTGTCTGTTATAATTTTGTTTAATATATTTTAGTCTATTCATTTTATTCGTTTGAAGTAAATCGAATGATTTTATATTTGAATAATTATAATTTTTATTATTTTATCGAGTATGTAAATTTTTGGTGGACAATTTTTATTATTAAAGAAATGAAGAAATACACTTTATTCTTACCATTTTTTTGTTTTTACTCTTTGAAATTACAATTTATTACTTCATATTTGAATAAAACGTTTAAATTATAATAATTGTTTAAACTAGCTTTTAAAATCTAATTTGGCTAAAATTAATTCATAACAATAATAATTTTTAAAAATTAAATAGTAAAGGTGGGCCAGAACCACCTCTCCGTGGTCAGAGTTTTTTCCATGCTGATCGATGTCATGACCGTGGAGTTGTCTGAACCCGCCCGAGTTGGCCTTCCCTATCCTATATGGTAATTAATAAATTGATTAGATTCAATTACGGCTCTACATGTCAATGCGTGGCCGCTACTATCCTTCTCTTCGGGGTCCAGCATTCCTAATTTAATGGCGATTTCTCGTTTGTGATCATCAATGAGAGGGAAAGGAAAGTCGCCACTCAATTTTCCGAAGCACTTTTTTTGTATAACATTAAATTTAAAATAATTATGTGAATCGTGAAATATAAGTCATTATTATTATGAATTTTATTGCTTATAGGGTGCCAGTGGAAGGGTGGGACGATAATTAATTTTAGAAATTATACAAGGGTTGATTGTGTTCCCAAAACCTACACTAATTCGATAACGTGAACACAGCCTTTATAAGTAATTTCGACACTGTGACATAAAATTAATAAATTAAAAACTTTTTTTTCGAAAAAAATCTCTTGATTTAAATCGAAATATCGATTATTACTTATCTACCCTGATAAAAAATAGAGAGTTAATTGGATTTATAATTGTTTTAATTGCTTTATTAACCATTAAGAAATGTTTTCCTATTCATCCATGTAAAATTGGTTAATGATACCTGAATATCTTTGATCCATCCCATATGGCTTTCGACGCTATCGCAAGATAACCCGATCAATTTAACACCCCTAGTCTCAAACTTTGGCATAAGTTGAGCCACTCTGGCAAGTTCGGTCGTACAGACGGGAGTGTAATCAGCGGGATGTGAAAATAGAATGGCCCAGCTTAAAATATAATTGGAAGAAATTTTGTTATTTAAATTTGCTAAAAATATAACTATTCGTCAGTCTAAGTAATAACGCTTTTTAATTTAAAAAATCAAAACCTCAGATTTTTTGAAATAACATTTCTCTGATTCAGATTTTGAAAATAAAAAATTTTCGGTTCGGATTGGTAAAGCAAATTTTTTTAATTTTCTTGGATTGGGTCAGCCGATGCAGGATTCTAAAAACCGATTATCCAAAAGATGCACTCAATAATCCCATAAAAATTCACTGAATTCTTCAAATCAACCCATTTTCGATTCGACTTTATTAACTTAAAATAAGAGTCAAGAGTTTCAACGACATAGTTATATTTTCTTCCCAAATGGTGGGCTTATGTAGTATTCACATCTTGTAAAATATGCAAAAAAAACGTTAAGGTCATGATATTTCCAACCGAAAAAAAAACAGTAAAACGTTTAGGATGATACAATTTTTTTATATATTTAATATTTATCATGAAAGCAAAAAATTATACTGCGGCAAATCAACAACATTTCGTATTGTAATTTTAATCAGAAGCCCAGTAAAAATCAATATCTTAGGCCCTGCCCGGGTTTGAAATTTTTTTATTTTAAATTCTGGATTTTAAATATTTGGTCGGGAATATTTTTGGCGCTCCATTATAAGATTTTCCAATATCTCACTGATGGCTTAGATAGAATTTTTTATGATATCTGCTCAAAATTAAAATTAAATCATATTTTACATAACTAATGCTGACATGAACATTGAATTTATGTCGCATAAATTTCTCATTTGTGAGTTTTAAAAATAAAAAATAATAATTAAACATCTAATATAGTGTGCACAAATTTATTACTACAAAAAAGGAAAGCGTTAACGTTACTCGTTACCTTTTCAAAAAAAACACGCGTAACCGACTATTCAAAAAGTAATGGGTTACTCGTTACTTAAAAAAATTAAATATTATATTCAAAAAAAAATTTATTTTTTTCCGACAATATAAGATAACATCTTTTTGTAACAATTTTTTATTTATTTTTAGACACAATTGATCTAAAATTTTGATCAGACAAACAAGAGGGCTCAGTGCTCAACACAGCTTTTGCCTTGCTCACACGTTCAATTGGCGCAGAGGATGGGAGAGTTGTATTATATTTAATAAAGATTTTAATTCGGGGAATTTATTAAAAATATTTAAGGAATTATCTTTATTTTGAAAAAACCTAATATATCATCTTCGCAAGAATCCTCATTCATTTACTCATCAAAAAAAATTTATCATCAGAAAATATTGTATATGTGTTGGATAAAAGAATCAATCCTGCTTTCTTTATCAAGATCTTTTCTCTAACTTAATTTTTTATTCTTTAAATTTATTAACAATTTGAAGTTAAACCAATAGCAATACTAAAACAAGAAATAGAAGATATTGTTAAAAAAACAATATAATATTTTGAACCAATATCAATATTTTGTTAATCTTTGTTGGTTCCCAGCCCTATACTATAGTATAATTTAATTGCTTATATTTTAATTTAATGATTAAGCTATTCAACATATTATGGAAGAATACTATTCTATTTTAAAATGATATAATAATTCATCTTTTTACCTTTAAATGCTATTTTAAGTTTTTACTGCTGGACATTTAAGTTATAATATTTGCGTTGGGAGATAATTTACAAAATTTAGACTTGGTACTCTTAATTTTCTTTATTGGTGTAAAATATGTTTAAAATTGTGGCCAGGGAAGGGTTAAATCATCTTCATCTGAAGAAATAAGTACTATGGACATAATATTCTTAAAATAAATTATAAAATTTTGAAGCGACGATATTAATAAAAAGACTACCTCAATTTAAACAAGGTATGCGTTTTTTTAATAATTAAAAAATTATGGCATAATGTAAACGCTCAATTCGTGTGCACTATAAAAGATAATTTATGTGACTCATATCATTCAATCATCGGTTTCGTCACTAAATCAGAGATCAACGTGGCACGGCCCCAATTATTCTTTTTGATTAAAAAAAAATAGAATTATGAAAATTTTATTTAAAAAAATAAAACTCAAATCAAGTCTTAATTAAAATTAAATTAATAAAATTAAAATCTCATTAATAAATACCAAATAGTATGTACTAATAATTACCTTAGCAATATTCGGAGATAAGGCTCATGTACGAAACCAGAAATATCAATAACTTATGAATTTTTTTTATAGAACGAAGGTTAACTCTTAACTCTTTCTATAGTGTTGTAACTATTGTTTTAAGTAGTTTGGTGCAAGTAACTAGCAAAAAAGTAACTAACTAGTTATATTTTCAGAATGTAACTACAAAAGTAACTAGTTACTTTTCAATAATAGGTTAAATATTTATATATCATTTATTATCCTATAATTTCACAAATTCAAAATCACTGATTATCAAATATAATGTCACATTTACATAAGACGCTCCTATATAATGTTTAAGTATATGGAAGCTTATTTTTGGAGAAAAGGCAAATTTTATCGGTATACATATCATATAATATTATTTATTTTTTAATTTGTATTTTAATTTTCTTTTATCAAAATTTATAAAAATTTTATAGAATAAATAAATAATATTAAAATTCATGGGTTATAAAAATTACTTATAAAATAATTAGTTAAATTTGAAATTTAAATGTAACTATACTAGGGATTTAATAAGTTACTTTTCAAAAGTAACTTTTAACAACAGTGTGTTTTGCTTAACTTAATATTTTAGAGTTTTAGTAAGATAAACTACCAATAAGAATTCGGATAACTCACATGATTATAACCTTAATTCCCTAGTTACAAACTCTATTATCGATTTATCGACTATTAAATTACCTTTAAATTAGTAAGAACCTCATGTTAATGGAAAAATGCGTTATACATAATTAAAAGCAATTATTTTAATTAATTTTTTTTTATAAAGTAATAAGAAATTTGATAATATTTATTTTGTTTATTTTAGATTCATTTATTTAACTAATTTTTATTATCATTTTAATAATAAATTTTAAGATTTAATTTTATTGAATGTTTTAGTTTGCCACAAAAATATTTAATTATAAAAACCAATTTAGAAGTCAGTGAAGCCTGAACGAAAACGACAAAAGCCGCCTAAATAATCTGAAATGTATGGATTCCCTTATATTTTGGTTTCCTCTATTTTTCGCGAATTTATACTTTTTATTTTTTTGCTCTCAAGCTTAAAAAGTTAACGAAGTCAATTGATCAGTCATCTGTTTTCATAAATCAAATTTCATGGATTATTTTTTTAATTAAGAATTTATGTTTTTTTTATAATTCGTTGCCATCAAAGTATCAGTTTTGATTTGACATAATTAATAATACCATCACAATTTAAAATAAGTGGTAAAAAAATTTTCTTAATATTTATATGCATAAATTAGTGGATATCTGTTCTAAATCTCTAAAACAAAAAATAATGGATTGTAAATATAATGTATTCTGGAAAATCAAGATGTTAGGGCATATAATTAAAAAACGTATTACAATTTTTCTTTAAAAAAATCCTTGAAAACCTGGAAGATTCCTTAAAAATTCACAATTTGAAGAATATACAATAAATATCCTTATATTATGTAGCCATAAATTATATAAACTCGTAATACTCTTCTTTACTTCTTTTATCAATATCATGATATTGCATCCATAAAGGTCCTGTATAAGCTTTCCCGCTAAGATTAGGCAAAAAAAATAATAATAAGCCAAATCTTTTTATCTACTATATTTTTAGGGTAAGCGGAGGATAATTTCCCGAAAAAAGCAACCCTTATAGGAAGAGGAGAGGGTTATTTTTGAATTTTTTTATCTTCTATGAATTCATTTCTAATCAAAGCAAAAAAAAAATTTTTTTAAGCATTAATCGACACAATATATTAACTTTATTATAACTTTTTATGATTTGCGTATTTTTTTCTTCTCTTCTTTATGATAATGAAAAAATTTACATATTACTTTTATGATTTTTTTTATAAAAATTTGTAATTGTTTCACACACTAATATTTCCTAAGGGTTAAAACTTTATGATATGTATTATAAAAAAAATATTTGATAATAAACTGAATACGAAATATGTGCTGTATTTTGTATTCTTCGCTGCGAATAAATCTGATATCAGGGTTATATAAGTGAATAAAAATGATCCTTTCTCGCGCGTTCGGATGGACTTTTCTTATTCACTAAATAGCTTTAAAAACATATGAAATGAATATTAAAAGATATGAGATCGAAAACGCGAAAAATTGGGAATATTTTTTTTATATATATATTCCAGAAAATCTTAATAGGGTAGATACTAAAAAAAGGTAATACCTTTATTTCAATCAAGTTTTTTTTAAAAAATGGTAAAAATGGGAGATTTTTTTTAATATTCCCAATTTAGAAATTTATTGGGAATATCGTCACTTTTTGTCAAAAATGACTTATTTTCCATAAATCAATTTTTTTTTATAAAATAAATTAATTCAAGCCAATATTAAGAAAAATATAAACTTAATTTTTAAAATTGCTCTTCCGTAAAATTATAAAATCTAATTCTCAAGCGACATCTTAAAAAATCTCCCTTAGCGATTTTTTACCAAAGTATCTACCAATATTATTCTCAATATTTATTTCGACATTTTCTATAATATAATATAAAATATTCCTAGTTTTTATTCGCTATTTTCTACCAAAACACAAGAATGGGTGCAAAAAAATTATTATGAAGGAACTGATTTTTTAATATGCAATTCGATCGGTATTATAATTACTTTATACCCTAATCACTCTATATTCAACCGATAAGTAACGCCTTTAATGGATAATTTCATTTATTTTATATTCATTGTTATATTTGAAATGTAAAATGGCAATTCATTTTTATTTTAGGATGAACTATGTAATTCACACATATGATAGTGGAAAACATGATAAGTTGAAGGTAAATTGATTCTATAAAAATTGTGA